AGAGAATAGAATAGAGAACAGAATATAGAATAGAATAGAATAAATATAAAATAGAATAGAAAATAGAATAGAGAATAGAATAGAGAACAGAATAGAGAACAGAATAGAATAAATATAGAATAGAATAGAATAAAGAATCAGGAGTAGAATAGAATAGAATAAATATAAAATAGAATAGAAAATAGAATAGAGAATAAATATAGAATAGAATAGAGAACAGAATAGAATAAATATAGAATAGAATAGAGAACAGAATAGAATAAATATAGAATAGAATAGAAAATAATAGAATAGAGAACAGAAAAGAGAATAGATAGAATAGAATAGAGTAGAATAGAGGAGTGGATAGAGTAGAATGCAGAATAGAATAGAAAATAATAGAATCGAGAATAGAATAGAATAGAATAAATATAGAATAGAATAGAAAATAATAGAATAGAGAACAGAAAAGAGAATAGATAGAATAGAATAGAGTAGAATAGAGGAGTGGATAGAGTAGAATGCAGAATAGAATAGAAAATAATAGAATCGAGAATAGAATAGAATAGAATAAATATAGAATAGAATAGAAAATAATAGAATAGGGAATAGAATAGAAAAAAAGAATAAAAGAATAGAACAGCACAGCACAGAACAGAACAAAATAGAGCTGGAAGGGACCTTGGAGGTCTTCTAGTCCAGCCCCCTGCTCAAGCAGGAGACCCTACACCATTTCGGACAATCAGTTGTCCTTCTGCCGCAGGCTCCAATTCTCCCTCCACTTAACCCTGGTTTATAACAGAAGTCCAAAGGAGGCATCGGCGTTCCTACGCCATGCAAAGCCCTAACACGGCTGGCTTCCCGGAGGCTTCGCGTGTGGCGAGACTCCGCACAACTGCGTCTTGAACCCACCTTCTCCGCCTCAACCCTCGGCTTGTCCTCACTTACGCTGGTCATGGTGACTTTTTTCTTGAATTCGCCGAAAAGGCTGTGGAGAAGGACGATCCCGTTCTCTTGGACGCTGAGCAGCTCCTCGCTGGTGGTCCAGCCCAGGAACATCGCCGGAGAATCCTTCCACTGTTGGCAAAGAGACGGTGGAGCTCGCGAGACTGTTCGACCACAGGTCCCATCAGCCCCAGCAGGTTCCAAGGCTTGGCTCTCTGCCTGGGTCTCAAGACGCCTGGCCCTTGTTAGCTCGGGGGTCCCAACTCGTTGCACGGATGCAACTACAACTCCCAGTATCCCCAGCCAGCTGTTGCTTTTTTTCATTGTCGTTGTAACTTTGAACAGACACTAAGTGAATCATCGTAAGCCGAGGACTGCCTGGAAGTGACCCAGGGGTCTTACTCACCACTACGCTGGCCAGCTGGATTCCCGAAGCAGAGTAGATCTCTAAAACAGGCCGGGAGCTGGGAGATTTCTCCTTCTTGTTTTTCATCAGGGCTACAAATTAAAATAATAATAATGATGATGATAAAGAAGAGGAGGAGGAGGAGGAAGAAGAAGGAGAAGAAGAAGAGGAGAAGAAGAGGAGGAGGAAGAAGAAGAAGAGGAGGAGGAAGAGAAGAAGAGGAGGAAAAAGAAAAAGGAGGAGAAGGAGGAGAAGAAGGAAGAGGAGGAAGAGGAGGAAGAAGAAGAAGAGAAGGAGGTGGAGGAGGAGGAAGAAGAAAAAGGAGGAGAAGGAGAAGGAGGAGAAGAAGAGGAGGAGGAAGAGAAGGAAGAAGAAGAGAAGGAGGAGGAAGAAGAAAAAGGAGAAGAAGAGGAGAAGGAAGAAGAGGAGGAGGAAGAGAAGAAGAGGAGGAGGAAGAAGAAGAAGAGAAGGAGGTGGAGGAGGAGGAAGAAGAAAAAGGAGGAGAAGGAGAAGGAGGAGAAGAAGAGGAGGAGGAAGAGAAGGAAGAAGAAGAGAAGGAGGAGGAAGAAGAAAAAGGAGAAGAAGAGGAGAAGGAAGAAGAG